GCCCACATGACAAAGAGGTGCAGATGACACCCTTTCTGGCTACATTGTAATTTTATAAATATTGCATTTTGTATGATATCGAATCATAACAGGGGGGTTTTGACATACAGCTGAATCCCTCCCCCTCTGTTTTGATTGTCAAAACAATTCGCCAATTAATAGAGATTGGAAGGGAAAATACACAGACCCCCCTATCAGCTGCAGTCTGTTCCATAATATTTGACAAGGGTAGATATACAAGCCAGTTAGCCAGATCAGAGACACTGCTCCTGACGACGGCGTGCTGACACGCCAAAACGCACGTTGAGCTCACAATTTTTTGTTTTTACTTCACTTGGTAGCACTTTAATATGGTATATGTAAAATTAAGTCACCCTCTCAAGAATGGATTCGTCCGTGTGGAAAAAATGGGCGGTATCTTAGTGAACACAGCCAACGAATATTGAGTGGACAGATCCAAACAAACGGCAAATAAACTGAATGTCTAATCCCATCATGTTCAAGCATCCACTTAGTAACACAATAATGTCCTTATAAAGATGTCAACCGGAATGTATATGCAAAGATATTGCGGATTAAAAATGGGGATCTCACAGGTGTATATTCATATCTCTGGACATAACCACCCTTATATTCGTATAAACATTAAACCATGGGAAGATGAATCATCACACATTCATATATGTCCATATGCAGCTCTAATCCTACAGGTAACCGGATAGATATAAATAATCTATTCTTCCTTAAACCAGGTAGATACAAATAAGTATACTAGAGATCTAACTTAAATATAGTGGCTATATTATCCCCGATATGGTAACTTCATGAATAACTCTTATTAATATATTAGACCAAATAAATATATGGTAGAGGAGGGTATATAATCAGGGAAGGGGAGGAGGAGAAGGGCTCTAATATTATTTTCTTTGGGTTATGGGCACTGGGCACTGTTTGGTTTAGCACTTTCTACTCCAGCATGATACTACTGATTTTTACTATCTGACTTTCTTTGCTACTATGCCTGTCTAGTTAGATTACCAGGGAGAGAGGCTTTCTATAATTTGCATTGTCAGTTTATTTTAAACTGACCTCTATATCTTTACCGCCTACTCTCCTTCTACCTTCTGACTGGCAGAATATCTCCTCTACGGCACTTTCTTTCTACATGTATCATACCCCTACTACCATCACCAATGTAAGATTGCTCTGTCTATTACACTTAACAGATAAGTGATAGACTATTCCATTGGATTATCAGTGCATAGGAATCAGATCTGGGGTTTAGAATCATAAGTGACAATGATGCTGGGACTCTGGGAGGAGTACCTTCTGGTATACCATGGATAGGGGATATATTGGGGTAGATTCTCTTCATACAAGCCATTTTTATAAAAAAGCTTTATTTTAGTATTTTGAATCGTGTCCCTATATGTATACACAATACACCTACCTGGTATATATTTTTTGATGCATAGTTGCCTGTAGATATATTTTTTCACTAACCAATCAGTTTGGAGACCTGTATTTATTTATTATTTTTTCACATTAGCCAGTATTTTGACATTTACTCTACATTACTATACTTATATCCAGGAGATGCAACTAGCCCCAGGGCTTTGTCTGCACTGAGATTATTTGGCATCTAATTTTACACCAGGCACGATTACCCTAGGGTATAGTGCTTGTGGTAGTACCTACTGTCTTATTTTCTGTTCTTTTTTTGTCTTTAATTTGGTATGCACTAGTTTGTTTTTATTTAGTTTTAGGCAGGGAGACTGGTTCAGGTAGGCATTAGTGGTTTGTCCATGGTGCTGAGGTAACACAGGGATAGATTCCTTTCAGTAGCCTTTTTTGGTTTATGGCTATTGAGGCTCAGTTCCTCCATCTTCCTCCCTGTGATTTTTACCTTTAGCTATACCTACCGGTAGTATACACGCTGCGAGTGTGTGGAGCTAGGGTACCGACATTATTTGGATTTTTTAGACACATTGTGTGTATGTCTAGTTGGACTATAGCGCGTTTGTACATATACCTTACCAGCTGTATAGGTGTAATTCTCCCTCTACACTAATTTTTTACCCACTATTCTTTCAAACTTAGAAGTATTGACGGTAGGACATCCTCTCCTTTGTATTGTTACTCTCTCCTTATGGCCTTCACTGGTCCGCTGTATATTTGTAACTTTTTAAACCTCCACACTAGTGCCGTACATTATTTTTCCATGGTGGCATAGTTGACTTCTCTGGGTAGATGTTTTATGCTGAGATATGCCACCGGGTGTTCCATGCCGTCATCTACAAGTTGACTTAGCAAAGCTCCCAGTCCAAATAGAGAGACATCTATGTGGACAACAAAAAGTTTTGAATGATCAGGCACAGCTAAGAAGCCTCACTTAAAGCGTTTTTTTAGGCATTGTAAAGTCCCCTCGCACTCCGGGGAACAGAGGACTTGCCTGGGTAAATAATTTTTGGTTAGGTCGATGAGGGGTCTGACACAATACAAGTAGATCACATCCACTGCAACACCCTGATTTATACTTCTACTTACTTTGTAGAATGCAATCAAGCTAGTCTTGGCATGATCTTGTCACGGTAGTTTACCCCAACATGCAAGATTTAGTCCAACAATCGACAGATGGAGCAGATACATCTTACCGGACCTTAGATAAACGGAGTCAGATACAAAGCCAAGGTCAAGCACGAAAATCACAACTGAACACAACAAGCGCTAAAGGGAACTGAAACAGAAACCACGATAGGGCGTTAAGGTATAGGTAAGTATAAATACCCTACCCTTTACTTTGATTGGCCCCTGTCATATCCACGCCCCCAAAATGTGAGTGTATGGGGAATGTGGGATGACAGGGGCCAATGGGAGACCGTTGTATTTTTTGGCTCCCACTGCCCCTTTAAGAGCGTGCCCAAGACACGCAGCACGCTCTTAGAGCTAGGCGGGACACGTGACCGCATCTCACGGTCCGTGCCCGCCTTCATCCGAGAGCCGCGCGGCGGGAAGAGAGGAATCTCGGCCGGCCCCTGGGTAAGGTAAGTACCGCTACAGATCTGTGCTTCATAAAACCATGTGGATTTTTACGAATTAGAATGTTTTTCCCCAATTAATTCCTGCATATTATCTCTTAATAATCCTTTAAATACTTTGTGTTTTGGGATGATAGGTAAATATATATACCTTGTACCCTTAGATAAAATTGCCTGGGTTGGGAACCACTGCTCTAGATGAAAATAGTTTTTTGGGTAGAACATTGGCTTAAAGACAGAGTACAGAGTGTTGTCATTAATGGTAAATTTTCAAGCTGGACAAAAGTGGTGTCGCTTAGGGTACTGTTCTGGGACCGCTTCTTTTTAACATATAAATTATCTTGAAATAAGCATTAAAAGTCATGTTTCAGTGTTTGCAGATGACACAAAACTCTGTAAAGTACTACAATCTGATCAGGATATTACTTCTCTGCAGAGGGATTTAGATAGGTTGGGGGACTCGGCACTCAAATGGCAGATTAAATTTAACGTAGATGAATGCAAAGTAATGCACTTCGGGGTAAAGAATGCACAAGCAAGATACAGTGGTACCTTGGTTTACAAATTTAATGCGTTCTCCGGGACGTTTCTTATTGCAAAAAATGTGTAGACCGAAAATGCATTGAAAACCAATTAATCCGTTCTGGAGGTCAGAAAAAAGTCAAAATGAGCTGGCAGGGAAACCAACCCACAGTAAAAGGCTTGAAAACGACAAAGCTCATCTCCCTACCTTTCCATCGCTTGAGAAATGCACCAAAAAGTCCCAAAACCACTGCAAAAAATGTCCAGAATTGGCCCAGAACTCGATCCAAAAGCTGCTGCAACACCTCCACACTCAACGCCACTGTGCTACTCACAGACTCCAGCACGCACGGGGGTGGCACTACAAACTTCCCAGATGCAATGTATTCTAGGGAAACTTGCTTTGTATAGCAAAAAATATTTGTATACTGAGGCATTATTTTCAATGGATTTTCATTTGTAAACCGAAAATTATGTTAACCGAGGCATTTGTAAACCGAGGTACCACTGTATACCCTAAATGGGGCTGAAAATAAGGGCAGTTTTTGTGGTGGGGGGGCTGGGGCTGTAGAAGAGGGGGACAGGGGCTGTAGAAGTGGGCACAGGTGCTGCATAGGGTGGCACATAGGCACAGGGGCTGTAGAAGGGGATACAGGGGCTGTAGAGTGAGGCACTAGAGCTGTAGAGACAGGCACAGGGGCTTTAAAGGGTGGCAGGGGCTGTGGTGGAGGCACAGGGGCTGAGAGGGGGCACAGGGGAATATAGAAGAGGGCAGGGGCTATAGAAGGGGGGCAGTGGCTGCAGACAGGTAAAAAAAAGGCTGTAGATGAGGAGACAGGGCTGTGGTGAGGGCCAGGGGCTCCTTAAAAAACAAATAAAAATACTAAAGTGTATTCCCTCCCTGAGTCTTACCTTGGACCAGGGAGGGAGAAACCTTATTCCTGGTGGTCAGGTGGTACAGGAGCTGGTGCCTACAGTCAGCCCACAGCAGCCAGGAAAGTTGGCCAGCCTCTCCTAATGATGTTAGGAGGGGGCGTGACTTCCACTGCTCTTCTCCTATAGTCCCCAGCAATCTGCAGAACAGCAGTGGAAGTCACACCCCCTTCTCCTGACATCATCAGGAGAGTGGTTAATTGGACATTTTGAGCCCTGGTGTTAAATTTCTTACTGGTGGTAGACAATTCTGCCCCTTTCCCCAATAAACACTCACTTTGATACAATACACATTTGGGAAGTAAAAAAGAGGCACACAAGAAGTACATACCATAGGAATCAAAAGTGTTTTATTCTCATATACATTGACTTTACAGTTAACTATGTTTTGATCAGAGCAGAATGTGGAATATCTAACCATGAGAAGTACATTATATAGAAAGCAACAGTATTTTATTTTTTGTTATATATATTGACAATACCAATATCCAGACCAGATATTGACCAGAGAATGTGGAATATATAACTACTGAGAACATAAAAGGATGTCTGCACAGCATATTTTGGGATATATTTCAATCATACAATTTATAGAAACACTTTAATCTCCAGAATACATTGCACTAGATATTAAATTTGGGCCTTCAAACTATTTTGTTTCTACATTTCTTTATTACCATTGGAAGCTATGTTCTCAAGAAGGCTTCAAAGAACTGCCAAGCAGTATGTGGAAATATTGTGCTACTGATGAGAAATCAACTAATTAACCAGAACAGAGCTCTCAAAGGACCCATCACTATTGCTTTATTGATTTTACATTATAATTGCACATACTGACGGGCAGCACTTTAAAATTATAATGACAGAATGCAGGAATGATAAATGCCCCATAACCAAATGGCAACCTGGCAACCCTATCTCACTTGCTAAAATGTAATTAAAATGTTTGCATATATATATGTATATATATTAATATATAAAAACTCATTTTAATTTATAAAAAATTTACTGAGCTATTTTTTTTAACATAGAGTGTAAATATGCATATATTTCTAGTCTAAATGTGATACTCAATTAAGTTACGCATTTTGTTAGCTGTTTGCCAGAGGGAATTCTACATCCATATAATAATCCAATTTTATTAATGACACAGAGGCTCCTATTATGCAATCTCTTTCTTTATTTTCCCTCAGCAGCAAAATGAGAGAAACATTTTTTGAACTCAAAAAAAAGTATACATATAATAAACAACTGCCTAGAAACAGTGCAGCCAATCATGAAGTAGAACAGTCTATACAAGGCATGTTCCCAATGATCTCTTTCTCTTTCTTTGCTGCTCTCTCAGAACAGCTAAGTACTATGTATTTACTTCTGTGTTACTCATAGTCTCATATTGGGTTTATATTTAGAAGTGTATATATACTACTGTTTTTTTTCCTACCCTGGGATACACCCTCCCTCCTGTGTTTTGTTTCCTCTGTTAGGCTGAGCCGCGACTCTCATGGAAATTGAGAGCACTCGATTGTATATACAATATATACAAATATATTCGGGACCAGTACAAACCTTTATCTGGAAATCCATTCATAAACAGGGCTATACATAGGACATGAGGTCACACATTTAGGCTGGAAGAAAGGAGATTTCATCTAAGGCAAAGAAAAGGTTTTTTTACAGTAAGAGCAAGAAGGATATGGAATTCTCTGCCTGAAGAGGTGATTTTGTCAGAGAATTTTTATACAGATGTTTAAACTGAAATTGGATAAATACTTGCAAAAACATAACATACAGGGATGTAATTTCTAATTAGTGGGGTAATAGCTGCTTGATCCAAGGAGACATCTGACTGATATTTTGGCTTCAAGAAGGAATTTTTTCCTAGTATGTTGCAAAATTGGAAGCGCTTCAGACTAGGTTTTTTGCCTTCTTTTGGATCAACAGCAAAGACATATGTGAGGAAGGCTGAAATTGATTTTTCAGCTATGTAACTATGTAACTATGATTGGGATGCACTGACTTTCCTTCCCGAGGGTATCTCTTTTGACATCACGTGGAAGATGATCAACTATCAAGACTGTTTTCTACCTGAGTTTTGCAAACAAGCCAGCATTGTGCCCAGTTGCATGTCTTAAATCCTACTTGGACCGTACATGCTCTCTTCATACCCCAAATCAACACCAGCTCTTCATATCATTTAAACCTCATCTTCCTGTATCTACCACTACTCTGGCACGCTGTGAGATTTATTATCACTAGCGGGAGTGGATACCTCCATGTTTTTCGGCTCACTCAGTCAGAGGAGTTTTGGCTTTAGGTTGCCGTTAAGAAAATATTCTTCAGGCTGCGAATTGGTCACATGATTCTACGTTTCGTACTTTTTATTTCCTGCCTATTGATAATTTTTCTTCGCGGGTCATTGCTCAGCTTTGAACTTGCATAATAGGAGCCTCCGTGTCATTAATAAAATTCCCAGATTTTTCTATTAACATGATGTAAAGTCATGATTTTATTAATGACACGGAGGCGAGTATTATTCCCTCCCACCCTCTCCGGGTGTGGGTGACTCTGGTAAAAAACGGATGCCCCAGGGTAAGTGAGGGTAAGTATTTTGAGATTAGATAGATTTATCTAGACATGTATCATGGTCTGGGCGGTCAGGTTCTTAAACTATTTCTGTTTTACATTATGTGACAGAGTCGATAGGATGAATATTACCATCTATTTGCTCTCTCGATAGTTTAATCTTCTCTGGATGATCCTGTTTCTGGTTAAAAGGTTGAACGTTATCGTTTTCTTAACTGAGCTGTTCTTCAGTTTCAGAGCAAAGAAGAGGAAGAGATCATTGGGAACATGCCTTTTATAGACTGTTCTACTTCATGATGGGCTGCCCTGTTTCTGGGCAGTTTTTTGTTATATATAATTTATTTGAGTTCAAAATAATTTTTCTCTCATTTTGCTGCTGAGGGAAAATAAAGAAAGTGATACTTGCCTCCGTATCATTAACAAAATCATGACTTTACGTCATGTTAATAGTAAAATCTAGGAATTTCTATTCAGTTAGTGCCTACTTTGGCAGAAATCTATATGAGGCCTAGTTTGATACATTTAGACACATCTCATCTAACATTCTACCAAAAATCCACATGACCTGGTGATTATTATACGGCTTGCATTTTATACATTGTTTGTTTCTATTGGTGAATTATATCAATTTTGTGGTTTACTTTTTAATTTTATTCTTTTAATTTAACAATTTAATTTCACTACTACAAGAAAGAAACACAATTTTCAGTTTTTCATTTATTCCTCTGTTTTTGTTTGACAATGCATTTAAACTATTAATAAAGTAATAGATTTTTGTATTTTTGTCTAGGAAATAGTTTTTTTGAGTGTTTCACATACTGTACCCTATTCCCCCAGGGTTACCACCCATTTCATTTCCTAGAACTAGTGTGATTAGCTTGTTCTCTCTTTGGTGATTTCAGAATGGGTTTCAATACCCTTATTTCTTTTGAGCTACATATAAGCTAAAGTTTATAATCTACAATTTGTGCCACAATATGTCCGAATTCTTATCAGGAAAGTGAACCCTGATCAGGGATTAGATTATGTAACCAATTTATTTTTCTACCAATCCTTCAGAATGCCAGATGTTGTAGAACTACAACTCCCATAATGCTTGCTTTGCATGCCTTTAGAATGACAAAGCACCACAGAAGCTGTAGTTTCAAAACATCTTGGGATCTACCTTTTGGGCACACCTGCTTTAAATAAATCAAATACTAACATAAAAGATATTAAATGAGCATTTTTTTTTTAGTACATAAGCTGTATGAAAATCAGATTTCCCCTGGATATTTTATTGCCAGGCAAGGTTTAGACAGAACAGCGGGTTAACAAGTGGAAAAACATACTCCTTTACTGTTCCTTTAAATTGATGCATCTCCATGTTAAATACCAAAAGGGACATTTGGAGAAAGTAAATCAAAATTTGCAGATGGAAAAAGATTTTTTTCCCCCTAAATATTCGTGCACCATTCCATTCTATTAATACTCTGCTAATCGTTCTGTCATCGTGCGGACAGTCCAAATACTATCAGGCAGAGAAAATGTTCTCCTCCAATTTGGGCAAATATCACTTGATGGCTGTATCACTTAATGTGGACCACCCAATTATAATAATTTTTGAGGCAGAGTTAATTCTCTCCACGCATCTGTGAGACTTTACCAGAGTTGTACAAGTCCTCCCCTTTCCCCTCCTTTTTGGATTGTTGTGATAGGCTTGTTATAGATGCCCTGAAAGGTATGGCAGGACTTGATAAAAATTGTTGCTATTATCGGGTAGCTTTTACAGTATGAAATCACCCAGCTTTGTTTAATTTTATTTATTTTCTCTCTTTTGTGGATTTGTGTCCAGGAAGTAGGAGGGTCTGGGAGGGAGGGTCTGCCGGAGATTGGCAGGGATGTGTCAGCTGACCGGAGTTCACCACGAACCGCGGCGAACGGTTCGCGACATCACTAGTGACAAACTGCCACTGGTATCTGTTATTTCAGACACTGCTTTACCAACTTACTGTTCAGTAGATAGGAACTCATGATGTCACAGCAGTGGTAATTGCAATCCATTCAGACTAGGATCTTGATTGGCTAAATAATTTTCGTGCTGTCTTACTTTATGTAGCCCAAGTTTTAACCCTGCATTACAGTCTAAGATACATTTTTATCTAGCATTATATCAGCTTAAATAGTTTATTTATTTAGTCTGGGATAGCTAAATAACACCTATCCTAAATAGTATCGCTTTTAAATGTTGGCAACAATTACACTTAATTTGTATGTTTTTGCGTTGGCATTAGGCTTTTTACAGCAACCAACCCCGGACAAAAATCATGTTTCCTTTGATCAAGTTAATGGATGAACACTATTGGGTTAAAGGGACACTATAGACACCAAAACAACTTTAGCTTAATAAAGCAGTTTTGGTGTATAGATCATTCCTGATGTCTTACTTTTTAAGCCCTTAAGGACCAAACTTCTGGAATAAAAGGGAATCATGACATGTCACACATGTCATGTATCCTTAAGGGGTTAAGTCTCTGCCATTTAGGAGTTAAGCCACTTTTGTTTCTATTTAACCCCTTAAGGACACATGACATGTGTGACATGTCATGATTCCATCTTATTCCAGAAGTTTGGTGCTCAAGGGGTTAAGCAACCGTAGCCACACCTCTCCTGGCTGTGACTCAGCTTGCATGAATAAATTGTTTCATTTTCAATCAGATGTTAACTTGAACATTTTTATCTTCTGCTCTGTAAATTTAACTTTTATCGCACGCAGGAGGCTCCTACATGGTTACAGTGCAGAAGATAAAACATTCTTAATTAAAAAGAATGTGCATTGAAGGAAGTGTAAGCATTAGACCTCTCTTTACAGGAAGTGTTTAGGAAGGCTGTGCAAGTTGCATGCAGGGAGGTGTGACTGGGGCTGTGTAAACAAAGGGATTTAACTCCTAAATTGCAGATAATTGAGCAGTGAGACTTCAGGGGCATGTTCTATAAAGCAAAACTGCTTTATTAAGCAAAATTTGTTTTTGATCTATAGTGTCCCTTTAATTGACACCACTTCATTCCAGATTATTAATCATGACAATTCAAGGAAAAAACAGCAAGGATGCAAGGAAAGAATAGCATGACATATCATTAGTTGTTAAAGATCCATTTCATAAAATGTATATGTTAGCAATATTTACTAGTTACAATTATTTTGATCATGGTGCCATTAGCTTATGTGATTATGTTTCAACCTGTAAACTAAGCTCACATTTAGGTTCCTTTTAACCACTGTTAGATTCCAAAACTCTATTACTTATACTATGATTTTACTTGTCACATGAGATAGATATTCAAGAAACCAGACCTGCTTTATATTGTCTTTTAAACAATCAATGCACCTTAACCCCTACAGCACATATTAGTGGTCACGGTGTCAGAATTCTAACGCCAATTTTTCAAAGCTTTATCAAGGGCTTTACCTTACTGTGTCTGGTACCTGTGGTCCTTCTGGCCTGAGTTGCTATGGTCACATGGACAGTATTCGTTGGCTGAATGCCATAGGCTAGCACTCTCAGCCAATGAATACTGTCCAAAATTTGTCATGAGTAAGCATAATAAAGCACAATTCAGAATTTCGCATTTAATATAGTAACTCAGACTAGAAAGGCAATGGCTGACCAGCATGCTGCAGTGGTTATGTTACTCATTGTGTCTCCCTTAGCAATAAGCAACGCCAACCCATGAGTGCCATAAATAAAGTTGGCATAACTGACTCTAGCATAAAGACTACGTACAGAAAATGAAAATGTAATATTTACTTTAGTGTCCAGTAGATACAAAGAGGCTAAATATTTACTTGTTTCATTTATGATATCTGGCGCATGTTTGCCACATATCCTACTTTGTGCTTTAACTCATGTAAGGTGGGAAAATAAATGCCCAAATATTGGTGTAAAACACTGAAATTTACAACATATTTCACAAGGCCACAGGAATGAGCTGTAAAAATATAAAATGTTTATCATGTCTTTCTAAATATATCTTAGCATTGCACCAACGCTACCTTGTTGGCCTTTATATTTGTGTGCACCTAGGCAGAGCGTTAAAATATTAAAAATTATTAGTGCTTTGGTTCCACCCACAAAGGACATTAAGGTCTTTCCCTGTAAAATACAATCCATCTACATGTATTCCAACATACAACAGATGAAGTTCTATCTTGATGTGTCCTTAATTTCTTCCTTAATTATCTGGAAAATACATTTAGCTACAATGGAGTTCAGCCAGTTTGTTCAACAGCACTACCTGACGAAGACAGATTTCCTAGATTGGATGTATATGTGGTTTTATAACGTGATTTTGTCAAAGCACTCAAGGTCTGCTGTTGCCAAGCTCTGCTGTATTAAATTAATTAGTGAGACACAGATTCAGACTCTAAATAGACCTTCGCCTGAGTCTGAAATGATTTCTGTAGCGTTGGCAGGTAGGTGAGAAAGTGCTTTCAGGAGAAGAAAAACCAGTGTTGTCCCTTGTGCTTAGAGAAATTTCATCAATTTTGTAGGAGATGGAATTATAATAAACTGGGTTTGTGTGACAGCTAAAGGACTCATGGTGTGATGTTGCTGGACTATCACAGAAATGAGATCTGTAGCACATACATGTGCAAAATGATCCTTCTCTGGAAGTTGTATTGGAAGATCTACGCCTTCCCCTCTCACAATCATCCTGCATAAGAGGTATAAGATTAATCTGACTTGTCCTATCGCCTATAGGAAGAAATATGGAACTTCGACTTCTGTTGACCATTTTGGATTGCAGGCTGATGCTATTCTGGGCTCTTCTTAAAGAAGCTCTCTCTTCAGCGTCACGTCTTTCATCTTCAGAATTCATGGTCAAAAAGCGGAGCACTACTAAGTTAAGAAAAGCTCCAATTACAGTTAACCCCACTAGGATATACATGAAGCTAAAAGCAACATAGGGTGGCTTTTTCTGCAAAGCTTCATTCTTCTGTAGAGCAACAAAGTCTCCAAACCCTATGGTGGTAAGGGTAATAAAACAGTAGTAGTAAGAGTGGAAAAATGTCCAACCTTCGAAATATGAGAAAGCTGCTGCTCCTATGCCCAATGTACCAATGCAAGACAGGAAGCCAACTAACACCATGTTCTCCATGGATACATCTGTTTTCCTCATATGAAAACACTTCTTCATTTTCTTTAACAGGAACCTTACAAATGTGTTCATGCGCTCTCCCAGACTTTGAAACATGACTAAGGTAAGCGGAATTCCAAGGACAGCATAGAACATGCAGAAGACTTTTCCAGCATCAGTCCCTGGAGCAGCATGCCCATATCCTGCAATATATAAGAGACAACATTATCAAGTATCGACTTATAATTATCACATATAAAAAAACATGTCCTTTAAAACATGATGTGGGAATATAAGTAAGAAAAAATAAGAAATAACTGTTTAAGGTTAGAGGCCAGTGGTTCTTAAAAGAACACTACCAGCACCATAACCACTACAACATGCTCAAGTTGTTATGTTGCCAATACTGCCACCTTCTTTGAATGTAATCAAACCGTTTGATTACTCCCATAGAGACAGTGACCTGTGCCTGATAGACTCCAGGTATTAACATAAACTGTTAACAACAGCTTGACTACTTACTTTGGGGGTGGACCAGGGCATTCCCTGCAACATAACTAATACAATGTGCTGCAGTGGTTGTGGTTCTTGGAGTGTTCCTCTAACAGTCGCTAATAGGAACCCAAATTATCTACATGGCAAGAGTTTGCTGACGCATTTATTTTTTGCAAAATTGGTTTAGTAACCCATTTGTGCATATATATGAAAATTAATTCAGCAGAGCACCTTTATTAGCTTTTTCTTAGTGTTTGATATGGTCTGAACTGTAATGGACAAGGCAATGGTACAATGGTAATAATATATAAAGGGCAGTTAGTTGTCACCGGATCAATATGGCCTGCCTGTTCTAACCAACAGTGACCCATTGAGATGGTAATGGGAACACACAGTGGGCCCCGACACAGGAGTGAAAAACCACTGAAACAAACATTGTATACATTCTATTTTTAGTATTGTTGAAATAATTTCAATACAAAAAAATTGATTCAAATGTGCAAAAAGGGAACATCCAGGGAGTGCAGAATTATTAGGCAAGTTGTATTTTTGAGGATTAATTTTATTATTGAACAACAACCATGTTCTCAATGAACCCAAAAAACTCATTAATCTCAAAGCTGAATATTTTTGGAAGTAGTTTTTAGTTTGTTTTTAGTTATAGCTATGTTAGGGGGATATCTGTGTGTGCAGGTGACTATTACTGTGCATAATTATTAGGCAACTTAACAAAAAACAAATATATACCCATTTCAATTATTTATTATTACCAGTGAAACCAATATAACATCTCAACATTCACAAATATACATTTCTGACATTCAAAAACAAAACAAAAACAAATCAGTGACCAATATAGCCACCTTTCTTTGCAAGGACACTCAAAAGCCTGCCATCCATGGATTCTGCCAGTGTTTTGATCTGTTCACCATCAACATTGCGTGCAGCAGCAACCACAGCCTCCCAGACACTGTTCAGAGAGGTGTACTGTTTTCCCTCCTTGTAAATCTCACATTTGATGATGGACCACAGGTTCTCAATGGGGTTCAGATCAGGTGAACAAGGAGGCCATGTCATTAGATTTTCTTCTTTTATACCCTTTCTTGCCAGCCACGCTGTGGAGTACTTGGACGCGTGTGATGGAGCATTGTCCTGCATGAAAATCATGTTTTTCTTGAAGGATGCAGACTTCTTCCTGTACCACTGCTTGAAGAAGGTGTCTTCCAGGAACTGGCAGTAGGACTGGGAGTTGAGCTTGACTCCATCCTCAACCCGAAAAGGCCCCACAAGCTCATCTTTGATGATACCAGCCCAAACCAGTACTCCACCTCCACCTTGCTGGCGTCTGAGTCGGACTGGAGCTCTCTGCCCTTTACCAATCCAGCCACGGGCCCATCCATCTGGCCCATCAAGACTCACTCTCATTTCATCAGTCCATAAAACCTTAGAAAAATCAGTCTTGAGATATTTCTTGGCCCAGTCTTGACGTTTCAGCTTGTGTGTCTTGTTCAGTGGTGGTCGTCTTTCAGCCTTTCTTACCTTGGCCATGTCTCTGAGTATTGCACACCTTGTGCTTTTGGGCACTCCAGTGATGTTGCAGCTCTGAAATATGGCCAAACTGGTGGCAAGTGGCATCGTGGCAGCTGCACGCTTGACTTTTCTCAGTTCATGGGCAGTTATTTTGCGCCTTGGTTTTTCCACACGCTTCTTGCGACCCTGTTGACTATTTTGAATGAAACGCTTGATTGTTCGATGATCACGCTTCAGAAGCTTTGCAATTTTAAGAGTGCTGCATCCCTCTGCAAGATATCTCACTATTTTTGACTTTTCTGAGCCTGTCAAGTCCTTCTTTTGACCCATTTTGCCAAAGGAAAGGAAGTTGCCTAATAATTATGCACACCTGATATAGGGTGTTGATGTCATTAGACCACACCCCTTCTCATTACAGAGATGCACATCACCTAATATGCTTAATTGGTAGTAGGCTTTCGAGCCTATACAGCTTGGAGTAAGACAACATGCATAAAGAGGATGATGTGGTCAAAATACTCATTTGCCTAATAATTCTGCACTCCCTGTACAATGTGAGCAAAAAGTAAAAATCCAACAAAATCTTGAAGGATGCCTTGATTTTCTTTTTTTTTCACAAATGTTATTTATATCTCAGATGGGGGTTTAGGGAGTAGAGTGATACGCAGCATAGCTACACCTATTGCTATTTCTACATGGCTAACACAGCGAATGTAGTGCTTCTATTAAAAGATACTTGGACCAGATTGTTGACATATGCAGCTCTATATGTAAAATTAAAATCATGCCTATTGGCAGGTACAGTATGGCAAGCACATGCCTATAACTGAAACATTATCAAACCATGTCAGTATTCTAAATTAGACTATTAGCAATGATTATCTCCTGTTGGTTGGATAATACATTCAGTTTATTGTTTACGAGTTATTTGCTAAAGTGTGAATTGTTGGAAACTTAAAGGGTAACTGTCACTCCCCAGTATTTCTAATTTTATATTTATGTATCCCTATTTCTACTATACACATATTTTTGTTTGTGAAAGATAAAATGAAATGTAAAAATTCATAACTCAGGGGGCGGGGCCTGACAGGCAAGATGGCCGGACGTGCTTTGTGTTAGCTCCGGCTAATCCTAGCCTTAATCTCATACACAGAGCCCAAAATCTTGACCACTGGAGCACAGAACAGGCTAAAATCAAACTCATTAATGAGCCCCTCGGATCCTTACCTGGATTAACGTGACCTCCTGAGAACTCACCTAGCCTGGCTCTAAGGCCTACTGAGAGAGCGGTATTGAGGGCTGAGGGAAGCGGCCGATCCCATGGCCTGAAGACCGCATCTTGTTCAGCCTTAATACTCTCCCCCCCACCCCCCATGGACCAGTGGGTGATATCCCGGTCCCCACTGGGGCAGCTAACATCTCTGCAGACCTTGATCTGAGAAAACGCAGCTGGCGACTGCGTGGTGGAGTCAAGATGGCCGCCGCACCGAGAAGCCTGCCTGCACAAGCAGACTCTGACAGCCAGTCATGGAGAGAGCAGTTTGAGGCAAAGTTCGATGCCATCTGCAGGGCGTTCTGGCGCCGCATGCAAAGCAACGCAAACACCTCTGCTAAAGCGGCTACCTCGCAACAGCAACCTACTGACCACACTCACAGACCCTCAACTGTGCTAAAAGATATCCAGGTGCCGACTAGATCGACGTCCTCCACATGCGACTAGAGGGATTAGGCGGTGGAGACGGCGCAAGAGAATACTGAGACAGTCGCCCGCACGCCTCCGGCACCAACAGCAGGGATGCCACCCACCTCAGAACAAGTGAGAACGGCATGACCCAG